CTGCCCTGACAGCCTTGGGTGAACCTGTACCCACAGTCACAGCTGCAAATGTCAGATTGGCCTTCTTGACAGTGAACACACGGAAAGCAACTGGATGGAATCCCTAGTCGTGCACTCAGATCTACATGGACCAGCTGAGGGGAATATTTGCAGACATCTTTAATCTCTCCTTACTACAGTGTGAGGTTCCCACCTGCTTCAGGGAGATCCCAACCAACCCTGTGCCGAAGAAAATCAGGCAGCGTACCTTAATGACAACCATCCAGGGGCTCTGAAATCCATCATTATGAAGTGCTTCAAGAGGTTAGTAACGGAACACATATATACGCCAGCCTTTCAGATTGCAGTGATCTGCTACAATTCGCTTACCATTGCAATAGGTCCACAGCAGATGCCATCTCCATGGCCCTACACTTATCTCTGGAACATCTGGACAATAAGGACACCTAAATCAGACTCCTATTTATTGACTTTAGGTCCACCTTCAACACCATAATTCCAGCCAATTCATCTCCAAACTTTAAGACCTTGGACTGTGCTCACCACCCCTCCCCCACACACCCACCCCAGGAACTGGATCCTTCACTTTCTGACTCACAGACTGTAAACAGTAAGGAAAGGCAACAACATCTCCTCCAGGATAACCCTCAACACTGGTGACCCTCAAGGCTGCGTACTAGCCCCTTAGTATACTCCTTATGTGTGGTCAAATTCTGCTCTAACTCCATTTACAGGCTTACTGATGGCACAACTGTAGTGGCTCAGATCTTAAACACTGATGAGACAGAATACAGGAAAGAGATAGAGATAGTGGCATGGTGTAAAGACAACAATCTCTCCCTCAATGTCAGCAAAATGAGGAAGTTGGTCATCAACTTCAAGAAGTGAATTGGAGGACATGCCCCTGTCTATATCAATGATGCTGAGGTGGAGATGGTCAAGAGCTTCAAGTTCCTAGGAGTAAATGTCACCAACAATCTGTCTTGGTCCATCCACATTGATGTTATGGTCAAGAAAGCACACCAATGCCTCTGCTTCCTCAGAAGGCTAAGGAAATTTGGTATGTCCATAATGACTCTTACCAATTTTTATAGATGCATCACAGAAAGCATCCTATATGGATGCATCACAGTGTGGTATGGCAACTGCTCTGCCCCAGACCTTAAGAAATTACAGAGAGCTGTGAACGCAGCCCAGTCCCTCATGCAAACCAGCCTTCCATCCATTGACTCCCCCTATAGTAGCTTATATAGGAAAGCTGCCAACAAAATCAAAGGCCCCTCCTATCCTGGTTATACTTTCTTCCACCCTCTTCATGAGGCAGAAGGTACAAGAATTTGAAAACACGTACCAACAGATTCAAGAACAGCTTCGTCACCGCTGTTATCAGGCTTTTGAATGAACCTCTCACATATTAAATTTGATCTTTCTATGCACCTTCTCTGTAGCTGTAACACTATATTCTGCATTCTGTTATATTACCCTGATGTATTTATGTAAGGTATGATTTGCCTGTATAGCACACAAAATAATACTTTTCACTGTATATCAGTACATGTGACAACAATAATAAAGCAAATCAATTATATCCTGATCCTGGGACAAACTAATCTCATATAATTGTAACCAAGATAATATTTATAGAGTCATAATCATACAGGACAGAAACAGACCCTTTGGACCAACTCATCCACAATGACCAGCCATGCCAATCTGATCTAGTCCCATTTGCCAGGTAAAAACCAAAAGAACTGTGGATGCTGTAAATCAGGAACAAATTCAGAAGTTGCTGGAAAAGCTCAGCAGATCTGGCAGCATCTGTGAAGGAAAAAGCAGAGTTAACATTTCGGGTCTGGTGACCCTTCCTCAGAACTGTCCTAAGGTAGGGTCACCGGACCTGAAACGTTCAATCTGATTTCTCTTTACAGATGCTGCCAGACCTGCTGAGCTTTTCCAGCAACTTCTGTTTTTGTTCCTGATTTACTGTATCCACAGTTCTTTTGGTTTTTATTTAGTACTTAACTCACTGTCACGTCTCCTCCAGGCATGCCCACCTTGAAGAAGTTCTGCTCCTCTCTCCGACGGGATTTCCGTTCCAATCTTTCTTCTTGTCCACCATCTTTAATTTAACTGTCAGTCCTGATGTTTGACCAAGAATTTGCTAAAGCTCATTTCCACAGCCATATCACAATCCTCAGTGACTGTCTCTGGCTCAGACTTACCCCACATGGATTCCAACTGAAGTTTCATCCCTCATGTGTTGAATCCTTCCAATATCATAGATATCTCCATGATGCTCAATGTTCCACAGACAGATGCTCTCTCCACATCCTAAAGATCTACACTCAGTGCCATGCAGCGTCACATGCACACCCTTGACTTTCTCTCCAACAGCATCGCAACACGCTGGCTCAGGGTTACACCACTCCACAGTTCCACTTCATCCTCCGGCTTATTTGTCATGCTAACAGGAAACTTTTTCTTTTCCTTTCAGGCATCAAGGCCCACAAGATGCAACAACTCAAAGATACCCATGGCCCTCTTGAACCTTCCTCTCCTTCCCTTTCCTCTGACTCCATCCCCTCTCCCAGCCCCACCTCCTGTCAGGTATTCACCATCCCTCCTAACCTTCCGCTCTCTGATGCTGAACATGCTGTACTCAGCAAAGGCCTCAGCTTTACTCCTCTGCATCCCCACCTTAACGAATGTTGGGCATGACATGACATTGAACTCTTCTTCTGCCATCTTTGCCTCCTGTTCCCATTTCTTTGGACAAGAGTCCTCTCTCAGTTCTGAGGAACAGTCACCGGACCCGAAACATTAACTCTGATTTTCTCTTCACAGATGCTGCCAGACCTGCTGAGTTTTGTCCAGCAACTTCTGTTTTTGTTCCCATTTGCCAGAATTTGGCTTATATCACGCTAAACCCTACTTATTCATATACCCATCCAGATGCCTTTTAAATGTTATCATTGTACCCACCTTCACCACTTACTCTGGCAACTCATTCCATACATGCACCACCCTCTGTTTGAAAAAGTTATGTTTCAGTTCCTGTTGAAATCTTTCCCCTCTCACCTGTGCCCTCTAGTTTTGGACTCCCCCACCCTAGGAAAAAGATCTTGGCTATTCACCCTATCCATGCCCCTCATGATTTTATAAACCTCTATAAGGTAACCGACGCTCTAGGGAAACAAAACCCAGCCTATTCAGCTTCTATCTATAGCTCAAACCTTCCAGACCCAGCACCATCCTTGTAAATCTTTTGTGCACCCTCTCAAGTTTAACAACATCCTTCCTACAGAAGGGCAACCAGAATTTTGAAATCACGTGTTTGTACTGTGATTACAGAATTCTTTTTAGATGGCATTGATATACAGTTACGGTGGAGATTCCATTAGCCAGAAAAAAATAAATAGAACTCACTAATATTTAGGAAATATGCCATTGTGTTGGTTGAAAAATTAGTTATGTCTTGTAAATGTTTGCTGTAAACCACGGAACAAGGTTCTTAGTAACTGAAATCTATCCAGGAGACTTAAAAAATACCGACACTATTGTAGCTACAATCTACCAAAAGTTTTATCCCATAACTTTCTGAATAAAAGAATAAAACATACATTGGGAACACCAATTACATGGTGACATTATTTATTAAAGCTTTGCGGAAAGCTTATAGTTTTTATGCTATTGACAAAACAGGAGGAAGAGCAAGCAAACAGAAGGTGCCCAAAGTAAAAGGCCAAGGGAGTGCTAATCATACTAGTAGAGAGTAGAACAGGTGTTAACAGTAGGTGTTAATAGCAGAAAATATGCAAGCTCTATCAAGAGTAGACCATGGAATCAAGAAAGGCAGATGGAGGGTTGATGGTGGCAGGGTTTTGGTGAAGAAACTGACTCTGATCACTTTTTGGGCTCCCTACTTAGCAAGGTCACATGTGCTATTGGCAAAATCTCTTGTGGCCTGGAAAAAGTTATTAGGCTTCATTGGATTCCTGCTGCACCAGATGAGTTGACGTTGAACCTGCTAGTCATAGAGCTATACAGTACAGAAACAGACCCTTCGGTCCAACTTGCCCTTGCCAACCAGATATCCCAAATTAATCTAGTCCCATTTGCCAGCATTTGGCTTATATCCCTCTAAACTCTTCCTATTCATATACCCATCCAAATGCCTTTTAAATGCTGTAATTGTACCCACCTCCACCACTTCTCTGGCAGTCTGTTCCATACAAACACCACCCTCTGTGTGAAAGTCTTTCCCCTCTCACCTTAAACCTATGCCCTCTAGTTAGCTTTAGTAATAAGTGCTTGGAGATGGGAAGGTGTCCGTAGTTGATACGTACCTTTCCAAATGTTCATATATGCGTCCCTCCAAAGATGCTTCCACAGACACGGAAACATTCAACTCATTGGCCAAAATCTTTCAGTACCTATATCAATTAAAACTGTAGTAGTTGGGAGATGTGGTCAGGACCACGTGGACGTCCTGGCACTCACACATTAATTGAAATTTCATGGGGACTTTAAACTTCTGATGGACTAATTCCACTGCTTGTGATCCTCTGCAACGTCTCTGAGCCTGAGTTCAGTGCCTGACATTTGGGCCAGATCTGTGGGGCTTAACTGGAAACTTACCAAGCAAATGTTGCATTGGTTAATACCTGGTGTATCTCAGTGATTTGACAGTGCAACTGAACTTGGAATCATGAGAGACCCCCTCCAATCACCATTCCCTACCCAACCTGATTCTCTTTCTAATCTGACCCAATTCAATATTGTCCCATCATATTCCCCTAATCTGTCCACCCCTTAGATGTAACCCTACTCTATGTTGCACCAGCTCTTTCCCAACCCAACCCAACTGCTTACTCACACACTCTGTCCCGTCTGATCCATTCACTCACACACCTCCTCATCCATTCGCTATCTGACTCAGAGACTTGAGACTTTTAAAAACTGACCAAAATACAGCATAATGTCATAAAAAGAGAGCATACCCTCTATTCACTGTCTTCTCCTGGACTTGTCAGCCTTCCATGAAGTTAGATCCACTCATCTACCACTGCTGTAACCAAAATCAAAGTCCTGGTAGAAAGATTTCAAAAGTTAGAGCACAGGATTATTCACAGGTACAGGCAATGTATTCAGCATTGGCGTTGACCACAAGATCTGGACCATTGTTGCCAGCAAATATATGTAACTCATTAATCTGTGGTTCATTTATGCATTGCCATTTAAGAAAACATTAGTCAGTCGGTCAACTTTATTTGGAATCTATCAGTGCTTAATAACAGAAAGTCAGGTTATGTTATACCAGATCCAGATAGTTCAATTAATCTTTTGGATAAAAATATCATCACACTATTGTGATACAAAATTTATTTCACAGCATATTAATAATGATCAGAATCACTGTTCCCTTCTTCAGTTTGAACTTGATATATTAAAATGATTCATAGAACACTGACAACATTGCACTTGAGTAACATTTATTTCTATTCAATTGTGAGAAAATTGGAAACACAATCAAAACTGCAATGTTTTATAGAGGTGTAGGTGCCAAATTTTCATGTTATCCCGAGTTGTGACTGGAACGAAGACCATTTTATGAAGGTACACAAACAGGAGGGTGGAAGAACACAGCAGGCTGAGCAGCATCTGGAAGAAAGGAGCAGTCAATATTTCGGGTATTACTTCGGATGTTACTTCATCCCTGTTATGGAGATCTTAAAATTAGGTTCAGTTTGAAGATTGAGAAAAAGGAGCAAAAATTAACCTCTCTTGGGTAATAAGGCAGGGCGAGTGACTGAAGTGATAATAGGGGAACACTTTGGGTCTAGTGATCATAATTCTATTTGTTTTAAGAAAGTTATGGAAAAAGATAAGCCTTCCATAAAAATGAAAGCTTTTAATTGGAGTAAGGTAAATACCAATGGTATGAAACAAGAACTTTCAAAAGTTGATTGGAGTAGACTGTTCGCTGAGACATGTGGTAAGTGGGAGGCTGTCAAAAGTGTGATAACGAGAATTCAGAGTCATTATGTTCCTGTTCGAGTGAAAGGTAAGGATAGTAGGATTAGGGAACAATGGATTAAAAAAGATATTGAGGTTCTGGTCAAGAATAAAAATTAATCATATATTAGACGTAGACAATTGGGTTCAAATGACTCTCTTGCAGAGCATAAGAGAATTGGGGCATTCTTAAGAGGGAGATCTGGAAGGCAAAGAGAAGATAATAAGATAGCGTTGGCAAATAAGGTTCAGGATAATCCAAAGAGATTCTACATTATAACAGCAAGACAGCAACTAGAGAGAGAGTAGGATCCCCTTAAAGATCAGAGAGGTCATCTTTGTGTTGAATCTCAGGAAATGGGAGAGATATTAAATGAATACTTTGCATTAGTTTTTACTGTGGAGAAAGAAATGGAGGCTAGAAAACTTAGGAAAATAAATGCTGATGTTTTGAAAACAGTTCACATTACAGAAGAGGAAGTGCTGGAGGTCTTAGGAAATATAAAGTTGGATAAATCTCCAGGATCTGATCCAGTATGTCCTAGGATGTTGTGGGAGGTTAGGAAGGAAATTGCGGAGTCCCTTGCAGAAATATTTGTGTTGTCTATGAGTACCGGTGAGGTGCCAGATGACTGGAGAGTGGCTAACGTTTTGCCTTTGTTTAAGAAGGGATGTAAGGAGATGCCTAGGAACTATAGACCGCTGTGTCTGACTTTGGTGGTGGATAAGCTGTTGATTCCGAAAGATAGGATTTATAGGCATTTGGAGAGGCGAGGAATGATCAAGAATAGTCAGCATTGTTTTGTGCAAGGAAAATTGTGTCTTACAAACTTGATTAAGTTTTTTGAGAAAGTAACCAAGAAGATTGATGAGGGCCGAATGGTAGACAGTATTTTACTTGGACTTTAGTAAAGTGTTTGACAAAGTTCCGCATAGGAGACTGATTATTAAAGTTAGATCACATAGGATTCAGGGTGAGCTTGCCAATTGGATGCAAAGGAGACAGCGAGTAGTGGTGGATGGTTGTTTTTCAGTCTGGAAGCCTATTACCATCTGTGTTCCACAGGTATTGGTGCTCAGAACACTTTTGTTTGCCATTTACATAAATGATTTAGATAAGAATGCAGAAGGCACAGTTAGTACGTTTGCAGATGACATCAAAATTGGCAGTATAGTGGACAGTAAAGAAGGTTATCTAGGATTACAAAGAGACCTTGATCAATTGGGTCAAAGGGTTGAGGAGTGGAAGATGGAGTTCAATTTAGATAAATGTAAGGTATTGCATTTTGGTAAAACAAACAAAGGCGGGACTTGTATAATTAAAAGTAGGGCATTGGATAGTGTTGTAGAACAGTGAGACCTAGGGGTTCAGGTGCATAATTCTTTGAAGTTTGCGTTACATGTAGATAGGGTGGTTAAGAAGGCATTTAGCATGCTTGCCTTTATTGCTCAGACCTTTCAGTATAGGAGTTGGGACATCTTGTTGAGATTGTACAGGACATTTTTGCGTTCTGGTCGCCCTGTTGTAGGAAGGAAATTATTAAGCTGGAGAGGGTTCAGATAAGATTTGCTAGGATGTTGCTAGGATGGAAGATTTGAGTTATAAGGAGAGGCTGGATAGGCTTGGACATTTTTCACTGGAGCGTAGGAGGTTGAGGGATGACCTTATAGAGGTTTATAAAATCATGAAGGATAAATTTGTTTACACATAGAGTTGTTTTAAAGCATTTTGATTTTATTCAACAGAGATAATTCCAGAAGTGTTTTTAAATTGCTCAACACACCAATAACTTCACTGCTCCCCTGCTGAATGTACACATTTGGTAAAGTGGGAGGGGCAATATTACTTAGGATGAATGTTAATTTCTTGCCCTTTACATCAGTACGCTTTCTTGATTTCACGTGTTTAGTTATGGCTTCCACAGTAGTCTGTACCTTGCTATGAAAGATTTGTTATCTATACAAAGCAAGAGTTTTCCTGCAAGCTTAGTGTTTGAGTCATACAGTCATACAGCATAGAAACAGACCCTTCAGTCCAACTTGTCCATGCTGACCAAGTTTCCCAAACTAAACTAGTCCCATGTGCCTGTGTTTGGCCATATCCCTCCAAACCTTTCCTATTCATGTAGCTGTCCAAATGTCTTTTAAATGTTGTGACAGCAACTACAACGACCACTTCCTCTGGCAGTTTATTCCAAATACAAACCACCCTCTGTGTGAAAACGTTGCCCCTCAGGTCCCTTTCAAATATGTGGTCTAGCTTTGAACTCCCCAACCCTAGAGAAAAGGCCTTTGCTATTCACCTGAATTTTTTTTTGAGACTGTTCTTTCTTCCATAGGGACCAAATGCAGTAGTTCAGGAGGGCTTGTTTTATGGCTTTTGAACTATTCAATCTTCATACAGCATCTTTGAATTGTAACCACAGAATTATTACAATGTAGATGGAGGCAATTCAGCCTATGCATTTGCATCTGCTCTCTGAGCAAGACATCTGAGCGACAATCTCCTGCTTTTTCTCCATAATCTTGAATGTTGTTTTGATTTAATAATCATCCAATGCCCTCTTGAACACCTCAATTGAACCTGCCTCCACCACACCTATGGGCAGTGCATTCCATAACCTAACTACCCACTGAGTGAAAAGGGTTCTTTCTCACCTCATATTTCCTTCTCTTGCAAAATACCTCAGAGCTGACCTCTTTGGCTTATGATCCTTTTGTAAGCAGGAACAGTTTCTTCCTATCTAATCTGTCTAAACCCCTCAGGAGTTTAAAAACTTTTATCAAATTTTTTCATTGCCCTCTCCTCTCCAAAGAAAACAGCCCCAACTTCTCCACTCTTTCCTCATGGCTGAAATGTCTCATTACTGAAATCATTCTTGTAAATCTCTTCTACACTCTCCAATGCATTCACAACCTTTCTATGGTGTAGTGCTCAGCACTATACAGAATATTCTAGTTGAGGTCCAACAGTATCTAAGTCCATCATAACCTTCATACTCTTGCAAACTATGTCACTGTTAATGAAGCCTAGAATATTGTATTCTTTATTAGTAGCTCTCCCTGCCTATCCTGCTACCTTTAATGACTTATGCGCATAAAGACCGTGATCTCTCTGCTCCTGCACATCCTTTATTTTCTACCACCTCTCCCTGTTGCTTATATTCAATTGTATCACCTCCCATTTCTCCACATTGAACTTCATTTGCCACCTATTCACCCACTCCATCAACTTGTCAATGTCCTTTTGAAATTCTACACTCTCCTCCACACAGTGCTAACAATGCTGTAAACTTTAAAATTATCCCTTCTAGATCATTTATATAGACCTGAAAAGTCAATGGCCCCAATAATGACCCCTGAAGAACTTCACTACAAGCAATCTTGCAACCAAAAAACTACCACTGTGCTCAGATTCCTATCCCTCAGCCAATTTTATATCAACATTACTACTGTCTCTTGAATTCCACTACCTATGTGTTTCCTCACAAGTCAATTGTGTGGCACTGTATCAAATGCCTGTGGAAGTCTATGGATCATCAGCCTTGCTCTTATCATTCCCACCTATACATTTCCAAAAAGCTCAAGCAAGTTAGAGATGACTTTCCCTTAACAAATCCTTGCTGATTCTTCCAAATCAATCCACACTTTTCCACATGACTATTAATTCTATACTGAACAACTGTTTCTAGAAGTTTCCCCACCGTTGAAGTTAAACTGACCGGTCTGTCTTTACAAACTGTTTTGGAAAAGGTATAATGTTTGCAAATTTCCAGTCCTGTATTACAACCCCTGAATCCAGGGAAGACTGAAAGATTGTTATTAATGCCTTTCAATTTTCATTCTCACTTCCTTCAATATCCTTAGATGCATCTCATTTGGTCCTGGTGCCTTCTCCACTTTAAGTACTGACAGCTTATCCAATGCCCCCTCCTTATCAATTTCAAATATTATAGTGACAGATGGCCGAGGCAACATCTGCCTAGGTAAGGACTGATGTAAAGTTTTCATTTAACATCTCAGCCATGCCTCTTGCTGCCATGTCTAAATCCTCTTTTTGCTCCCTAATGAGCCCAACTTCTCCTTTTATCACCCTGTTACTACTGATGTGTTTATATAAGAGTTTGGGATTTCCTTTTACATAAGCTGCCAGTCTTTTTGCATAATCTATCTTGTATATGCTGTATCACCTTGTTTCTAAATCCTCTGTATTCAGCTTGGTTCTCAGTTATATTTTCTAGTGATATCTGTTATAAGCACACTTTTTTCCTTAATTTCTATTTCCTTTGCCATCCTGGATAGGAAATGATTAGTAAAACAGATAGTGTTGCAGTACAGTTAGGAGTATTTATAATGAAAAATAAGAAAATACAGAAAAACTAAACACGTACTTCATGTCTGTCTTCAAAGAGAAAAAATATTTGAAATCTGAGAAATAATGGGTATCTAGGGACCAGTGTAAATCAGGAATGGCAAGATATTAAAAATAGTTAAATTAAAAGGTTGTAGTTGTTTACATGTCATGGAACTGATATTCTACATCCCAGAGTGTTGAGAGGGTTAATAGAAATGACAATCAGTAGTCATCTTTCAAAATTCTATAGACTTTGGAATTGTCCTGGCAGCTTGGAAGGTGAAAATGTACTCCAACTATTTAAGAAAATTTAGAGAGAGAAAATAGGGAACTGACAACAATTGTCAGAAAATACAAGAATCCTTAACATACGATGTCGTAGCAGGACACTAGAAAATAATGGTAGGAACATAGATTTATAAAATGGAAGTCATGTTTAACAAATCTGTTAGAGTTTTTTTGAGGATATAACTCACAACAGACAAGGAGGAATCACTGAGTGTGGTATATTTAGATGTTCAAAAAGCTTTCGATAAAGTTCCACACACAAGTTGGTAACAACATTAGAGTACATGGAATTAGAGTGAAGATACTGGCATTGTTTGAGAACTGTTTAATGGACAAAATGGAAGGCATCATCAACAGTGCTATCAAGCGACACTTGCTCAGCAATAACCTGCTCAGTGACGCCCAGTTTGGGTTCCGCCAGGGCCACTCAGCTCCTAATTTCATTACAGCCTTGGTTCAAACATGGACAAAAGTGCCAATTCCAGAGGTGAGGTGAGAGTGACAGCCCTTGACATCAAGGCTGCATTTGACCAAGTGTGGCATCAAGGACCCCTAGCAAAACTGGTATCATTGGGTATCAGTGACAAACTGTCTGGCAGTTGGAGTCATACCTGACACATAGGAAAATAGTCATGGTTGTCAAAGGTCAATCATCTCAGCTCCAGGACACCCTGCAGGGGTTCCTCAGGGTAGTGTCCTTGGCTTCAGCTGCTTCATCTTTGACCTTCCCTCCATCGTAAGGTCATAAGCGGGAATGTTCACCGATGATTGGACAATGTTCAGCGCAATTCATGACTCTTCAGATGCTGAAGCAGTCCATGTTCAAATGCAACAAGATTTGGACAATATCCAGGCTTGGGCTGACAAGTGGCAAGTGACATTCGTGCCATACAAATGCCAGACTATGACCATCACCAATAAGAGATAATCTAACTACCACCTCTTGACATTCAATGGTATTACCATTAATGAATCCCCACTATCAACATCCTGGGGGTTATCATTGACCAAAACTCAACTGTACACACCACATAAACACAGTGGCTACAAGAGCAGGTCAGAAGCTAGGAATACTGCGACAAGTAACTCACCTCCTGACTCCTCAAGAGCTTGTCCGCCAACTACAGGGCACAAGACAGGAGTGTGATCAAATACTCCCCACTTGCCTGGATGACTGCAGCCCCAACAACACTCAAGAAGCTTGTCATCATCCAGGAAAAAGCAGCCCGCTTGATTGGCACTACATCCACAAGCATCCACTCCCTCCGCCACCAATGCTCAACAGCAGCAGTGTGTACTATCTACAAGATGCACTGCAGAAATTCATCAAAGATCCTCAGACAGCACCTTCCAAACATATGACTACTTCCACCTAGAAGGACAAGGGCAGCAGATATATTGGAACACCACCACCTTCAAGTTCCCCTCCAAGGCACTCACCATCCTGACTTGGAAATATATCACCATTCCTTCACTGTCGCTGGGTCAATATCCTGGAATTCCCTCCAATGGCATTGCGGGTCAATCTACAGCTGGTAGACTGCAACAGTTCAAGAAGGCAGCTCACTACCACCTCCTCAAGGGCAACTTGGGATGGGCAAGAAATGCTGGCCAGCCTGCGACGCCCACATCCCACAAATGAATAGAAAAAAAAAGTGTATGGAAATACTTGGGTCATTTTTGGTTGGAAGCCTGTGATTAGTGAGGTATGACAAAAATCAATTAGGGGATTAAATGTAATATTTCCAAATTCACAGATGACAAAATTAGGTGGGAAATGAGAGTTGTGAGGAGGATGCACAGATATTTTAATGGGATAGGCTACATAAGTGAGCAAACAATTAGCATATGGAAGACAATTTGGAGAAATTTCAGATTATTCATCCTGCTAAGGAAAACAGAAATACAGAATTTTTCTTAAATAGTGAGAGATAGGGAAGTTCTGAACATCAATGGGACTTCGGCATCTTTGTTCCCAAATCATTGAAAGTTAACATGAAGGTACAGAAAGCAATTAAGATGACAAATTAATTTTTGACCATTATTACATTTGAGTATTGAAGCAAAAATGTGTCACTAACAGGGAGAAGTGAACTGAATTATCTCATCTGTCTCTAACAGAGATGGTTTCTCATTTCTTTCTTATTTCTTTTACTTCAAACATAGACAGGTGTTTCCTCAAACCTCTTTTTTGATGTCCAATTTAAAAATAACTCACAACAGAGCCTTTATGGTTAAAACAAAGTAGGATTTATTAATACATTCAAAATCCAGCAGTTTGGTTCACAAAACACATTGAAATACACAAAAACACAGGGATTAAAGAAGGCAAAGGAAGAAGATATAATTATACATTATTTAAAAATCAGAGATTGGCATTGTTTTATGTAAATTATAGCTAGCTTGTGAATGGAGGTCATTTGAAGCAAGCTAATCCTTTGTATTAAAAAATACACTGACTTTCCTGTGTCAAACAGTGCAAGAGTGGGTAACAGGAAGTAGTTCCCTCTTTTGAATGTGAACATAGGTGTTATGGTTAGTAAGTTTGCAGATGACACCAAAATTGCATGTGTAGTGGACAGTGTAGAAGGCTACCTCAGAGTACGGCATGACCCATGGCACATGGAGTTTAACTTAGATAAATGTGAGGTGCTGCATTTTGAAAAGGCAAATCAGGACAGAACTTGTACATTTAATGGTAAGGTCCTGGGGAGTGTTGTTGAACAAGGAGACTTCAGAGCGCTGGTTCATAGTTCCTTGAAATTGGAGTCCCAGGTTGACAGGATAGTGAAGGTGGTGTTTGATATGCTTGCCTTTATCAATCAGGGCATTGAATAATGGAGTTGGGAGCTCATGTTACAGCTGTAAACAACATTGCTTAGGCCACTTTTGGAATACTGCACGCAATTCTGGTGTCCCTGCCATAGGAAGAATATTGTGAAACTTGAAAGGGCTCAGAAAAGATTTACAAGGATGTCGCCAGGGTTGGAGAGTTTGAGCTATAGGGAGGGACTGAATAGGCCGGGGCTATTTTCGCCAGAGTGTCACTGGCTGAGGGGTGACCTTATAAAGGTTAATAAGTTCACGAGCGGGCACAGATAAGGTGAATAGCCAAGGTCTTTCTCCTCTCATCTTAAACCTGTGGCCTCTAGTTTTGGACTCCCCTACCCTGGGTATTCACATTATCATAGAATCCCTACAGTGTGGAAACAGGCCATTCTACCCATTGCATCCAGACTGACAGTCCAAAGAGCATCCCCCTCCACCCTATCCCTGTAACCCTGCATTCCCCATGGCTAACTCACCAAACCTACACATCCCTGATCACTATGGACAATTTAGCATGGCCAATACATCTAACCTACCCATCTTTGGACTGTGGGAGGAAACTGGTGCACCCAGAGAAAACCTACACAGACACGAGGAGAATGTGCGAGATCCACATGGTCGCAGAAGGTGGAATTCAACCCAGGTTCCAGGTGCTGTGAGGCAGCAGTCCTAGCCACTGAGCCCCCATGCCACTCTATCTACACCCCCTCATGATGATAAACCTCTTTAAGATCACCCTCAGCCTCTTACACTCTAGGGAAGACAGTCCCAGCATTTCTTCACAGAACTTGGAAAAAATCATTAAACACAGCCTGAAATCATTTGGCACATTAGCCTACAGGATCTGTGTATGATTCACTTTCTTTTGGACACAAACAATTTACTGTCAACTCTCAACTTACTATCAACTATCCCTTTGCTGACCCTTTCTCTCTCTCTGAGCTCCCTCTCCACCTTTTTGGTCACTCCTTCCCACAAACACCCATCATCAGCTTAGCTAGCTGCTTTTTCTAGCTGCTATCAGTTCTGAAGAAGGACTTGGACTCGAACCGTTAACTGTTTCTCTCTTCACAGACACAAAAACAGAAGTTGCTGGAAGAGCTCAGCAGGTCTGGCAGCAGCTGTGAAGAAAAAAAAATCAGAGTTAACCTTTCGGGTCCGGTGACCCTTCCTCAGAAACGTTAACTCTGATTTTTTCTTCACAGATGCTGTCAGACCTGGTGAATTTCTTCAACAATATATGTCTTCCAGTGTTATTCTAACGCTCATTACTTGGCCATAACATATCTCGTCTTTTTTTTTCCCTTACGAGACAACTACCACATTCTTTTCCATGCCAATCTTAACGTTGTACTTCTTCAAAGCTCGACGCAATTTTGCTGTTTTAAAAACGTGCCACCCTGTGCGCGGCGACTCACCAACATCAGGTTCGCTCTCCCTCGAGACAGATCAGTGAGTATCACTGCGGCTGCGCACAAGGCTCACGCCCAAGCTCCCTCCGGGAGCGCCTGCGCGGGATTTGGGAGGCTCGCGGGATTTGGACCGTATCTGTTTGTAGACTGGAAGCGTTGAGCGGCGCCGGTCTGCAGGCGGCGAGTGCTGAAGTGTCCGTGCGCCGGTGGCCGGATTTTCTCCATCCTACTGGCAGTGGTCCCTCGGTCCTCACTCGTCAGACACTCACCGTTTGCGGCCGGGCCACTTACAGGTGGGAGCGGCACCGGGCATGTTGCTGGGGGTAACGCCGCGTGACTCTATGGAACATTCTAGAGCCCCGGCGGCAGAGTGGAGGCGGGCATAGGCCAGAGGGTGGCGGCGAAGGGCAGGGCCGAGATCCCCCAGAGGGTAGTATCATAGGAGCAGAGAGGCTGACGTTTCGGGCCTAGACCCTTCATCAGAAAAGGGGGAGGGGAAGGGGGTTCCGAAATAAATAAGGAGAGAGTGGGAGGCGGATAGAAGATGGATAGAGGAGAGGATAGGTGGAGAGGAAACAAACAGGTCGAAGAGGCGGGGATGGAGCCAGTAAAAGTGAGTGTAGGTGGGGAGGTAGGGAGGGGATAGGTCAGTCCAGGGAGGACGGACAGGTCAAGGGGGCGGGATGAGGTTAGTAGGTAGGAGATGGGGGTGGGGATTGAGGTGGGAGGAGGGGATAGGTGGGAGGAAGAACAGGTTAGAGAGGCAGGGACGAGCTGGACTGGTTTTGGGATGCGGTAGGGGGAGGGGAGATTTTGAAACTTGTGAAATCCACATTGATACCATTGGGCTGCAGGGTTCCCAAGCGGAATATGAGTTGCTGTTCTGGCTCCATCCCCGCCTCTTCGACCTGTTTGTTTCCTCTCCTCTATCCCTCTTCTATCCGCCTCCCACTCTCTCCCTATTTATTTCGGAACCCCCTTCCCCTCCCCCTTTTCTGATGAAGGGTCTAGGCCCGAAACGTCAGCCTCTCTGCTCCTATGATGCTGCTTGGCCTGCTGTGTTCATCCAGCCCTGCACCTTGTTGTCTCGGATTCTCCAGCATCTGCAGTTCCTACTATCTCTCCCCCAGAGGGTGGCGGCGAGGGGGAGGGCCGAGATCCCCCAGAGGGTGCGGATGGCGGACTGGCTGTCTGACATCTCAAGATGGATTGGGCTGTCTACCCTGGGGAAGATGAGAGGAGCTGGGAATCTAGGTTTTTCCAGGCTCATGGACAGAGTGAGTAGAGAAAGTTCTTCCTTTGTACCAGGGCTGATAATCGGTTCAGGTGATTGCAGAAGAATTTTAAACGTTATGAGGTAAAAGTTAATGATGTAACAGGCGTTCAGGATTGGCTGGTAGAGACACATTTGCATTGGGCATTCAAAAAGGAATTGGATAAACACTTGGAAACAGGGAGAAAAATATCGCCAGGGCTAAGAGGGAATGACAGAAGGCTGCTAGCTGAGCTGCTTTTGCACAAGCAGTACAGCCCTGATGGCAGAACACCTACGCTCGGTTCGCACTAAACAACTGCACCTCCCAGTCGCGAACCATTTCAACTCCCCCTCCCGTTCCTCAGACGGCATGTCCATCCTCGGCCACCTGCAGTGCCACAACGATGCTACCCGAAGGTTGCAGGAAAGCAACTCATATTCCGCTAGGGAACCCTGCAGCCCAATGGTATCAATGTGGACTTCACAAGCTTCAAAATCTCCCCTCCCCGACCGCATCCCAAAACCAACCCAGCTCGTCCCCGCCTCCCTAACCTGTCCTTCCTCCCACCTATCCTCTCCTCCCACCTCAAGCCCCATCCCCATCTCCTACCTACTAACCTCATCCCGCCCCCTTGACCTGTCCGTCCTCCCTGGACTGACCTATTTCCTCCCTACCTCCCCACCTACACTCACCTTTACTAGCTCCATCCCCGCCTCTCTGACCTGTCTGTCTCCTCTCCACCTATCTTCTCCTCTATCCATCTTTTATCCGCCTCCCCCTCTCTCCCTATTTATTTCAGAACCCCCTTCCCTTCCCCCATTTCTGAAGAAGGGTCTAGGCCCGAAATGTCAGCCTTCCTGCTCCTCTGATGCTGCTTGGCCTGCTGTGTTCATCCAGCTGCACACCTTGTTATCTCAGATTCTCCACCATCTGCAGTTCCTACTATCTCGGACATAATAGCTGTTTTTTTTTGTTGTAACCATAGAATGATGGATGAAGAGTCAGCTTCTTAAGTGGCTCTCAGTTTTGTGTTGTGTGTGCATATGAAAATGCCTTAGTTCTCTGCCTTAGATGGCATTAATATAATTGATAACTGAAATTTTAAATTTTCCAGAACATGTCCTGCTTTACATCTCAAATGAACTAAAGTATATGGATAAAATTGCACAGCTTAGTGCCATCTTGAGCTAGATCATTTTGCATTTCCAGAAAAGCTGCTTGATTTGACGTATTATTTCTGAAATAATAAATTTCACCTATCGGTTAACTTCATTTCTCAAGTGAAATTTGTGCATCTGATGTTTTTTTTCAAATTTCACTGAGAAGGAAAATTATTTGAGCAGAATAGTAAAGATAAAATGTTTAATAATATTGTAATGTTTTGTATTTGTTTATGGCAAGTAGGTGTCAGTATTTATTGCCAATCCCTCAGGAAGGTCGTGGCAAGTTGCTGTTTTTGACTATTGCAGTTCAATCTGGGGAGGTACACCAATAATGCTTTAGGAAGGGAATGTCAAGATTTTGACTCTAACTGTGAAGAATAGTGGTATAGTTCCAAGTCAGGACTTGGCATGGAGTGGACCTCAACACAATAATAATCAATACCACTCAATGTAAACTAACTGTTCTATAGTTCAGTGAGATAGCAACAACTGCAGATGCTGGAGTCAGAGATAACAAATTTGAAGCTGGAGGAACACAGCAGGCCAGGCAGCATCAGAGGAACAGGAAAGCTGATATTTTGGGTTGGGACCCTTCAACATGAAACATCAGCTTTCCTGTTTCTCTGCTGCCTGGCCTGCTGAGTTCCTCCAGCTCCACACTTTATTATCTCTCGTTCTATAGTTCAGTTGTGTGATACTTAGTTTGTGCTGAGTAATATGAGGTAATAAGAAGAGATACTAAAAGAAGCAAGGAAAAATGCTAATTTGGGACTATATGCTGATTTGAACTGTGCCCTGGTGAGTTCTATATCTGACTTGGAACATAAGAACTAGGAGCAGGATTAGGCAATTCTGCCCCTTGAACTCACTCTGCTGTTTGATACAATCATGGCTGATTCACCTTGGCCTCCAATCCACTTTCCTGCCTGCTCTCCATAACAATTCAACTCATTACTAATTAAAAAGCTGTTGGTCTCCTCCTTAAATTTACTCAATGCCCTGGCATCCACTGCACTCGGTAATGAATGCCACAGATTCAGGACCTTTAGAGATTTGCATTTTCTCCTCATTACAGTTTTAAATCTGGAACCCTTTAACCTAAAACATGTTCTCCCCGTGTCTGCGTGGGTTTTCTCCGGGTGCTCCGGTTTCCTCCCACAGTCCAAAGATGTGCAGGCTAGGTAGATTGGCAACGCTAAACTGCCCATAGTGTTCAGGGATGTGTAGATTAGGGGAATGGGTCTGGGTGGGATGCTCTGGGGTCAGTGTGGACTTGTTGGGCCAAAGTGTCTACAGGTAAACAAGTATAATGCAGTCTCCACAACACCAAATCAAATAATTCTAATTTTATATTGAAATTTCTGGAGAATTTTTCAGTAATATGAACTAAGTTGTGTTTACAAAGTTTCCAGTGCATTGTATGTAAAAGAGACTTGGCAGGAGCAGGTGACATGGATTTCATGAAGCATGATTCACTATATTTTGCACCTCTTTTAAGATATAGCTAAACATCTTTGGCCAAAACTATATTAAAAGCCATTATCCTGATGCTCTGCCACAACTTCCTCCCTCAGTCGTTAAACTGTACAATCTGTTTTGTTCCATTAAACTATATGCTATGGATTAGTACATGACCAGAGGAATTCCTTCAGGAATATTCAGTTGGCACATTGTAATTTGCTTGTCAACCACTAAAAGCAGCTTTCATTTTGAATTGTAAACACAGTAGCTTCAATACCCTGGGGAATGAATCATTTTGTATTTCAAACAAAGTTGTGAAATGGTGAGTACTCCAACTCATCCCCTAAAATACACGGTAAAATCAGGTAACAGAAAGATCTACTTATACTATTGAGCCACATTAATTTTACAACAGGAATGTAATGTATCATGCCAAACTTTAGATACTTGTTTCACATTTTAAATGCCAAATTAAGATTTTACTTCGATAGTTACATTGATTCAGTAATTTCAATTAAATATTCTTTCTCAAAAAAAGCTTAACTATCAAAGTAAACAGTCCATGTCTAAAGATCAGATAATCATATACAGCTTTTTCTTGAAAAAGGAGTGCTTTAGCAGTTGTCTAGGAAAATAGTATAATCGTTTTGCACTGCTGTCTTCCTACAGATGGCAATGGGATGATTGGTCTCCAAGTATTTTTTTTCCTAGTTTATGATGCGTCTAATGAAAATTTTATTTTTCTTCCAGCACTATTCAAATATGGCTGATGCAACTCGAAATGGCCCTCAGGGTGGTATCTTGGTGAGTGCAGCAGAATATTCTCCTAGTTGGTGACTGATTATTGTTTCAGCCATAAATTGGTCAATTGTTTGATCTTTCATAAATCTCCTATAGTTATCTTTGAGCAAACTAACTATTTTCCATCTGCTAAGTTTTATCTTCTCACTTTCCCTTGATTAGAGCATCTAAGCTATATCCAGTAGTAGTTTACTGTTTTATTTTGTACTAATGGAGACCGTTTGATTTTTACCCTGCATTGCATCTAGAATATTTAAAAAAAAAGCTACAGTTATGTTCCTGGTGTCGTGGGTAAATCACCACAAGTAACCTTTAATTCGGCTACTTTCTAAGAAATCTCATAGACAGTTAAGTACTGAAACAATAATTCAAACTTTGTTGCATGTAGA